AGCTGATTTCTCAACAGAAACTTTTCAGGTCAGAAGGGAGTAGCAAAAAATATTCAAAGTGATGAATAGCAAGGACCAAGTGATGAAAGCAAGTAACCAAGATTACTCTACCCAGCAGAGCTCTCATTTAGAACTAAAGTTCAAATAAAGAGCTTCACAGACAAGAAAAAGGCTAAAGGAGTTCATCACCACCAAACCATATTACATGAAATGTTGAAGGGTATTCTTTAAGAAGAAGGAGAAGAATAAAAATAAGAAGAAGAAGGAGGACGAGGAGGAGGAGAAGGAGGGGGAGGAAGAGAAAAGGGAGGGGGAGGAGGGAAGGGGATCAAAAACAATAAAATGGCAATAAATACATATCTATTAACAATTGAATATAAAAATAAACAAACAAGGAATCTAATGAACAAAATAAATTGATAAATAAAATAGAACCAGAGGCATGGAAACATGGAACAGACTAACCAATCTCAGAGGGAAGAAGAGAGGGGGGATGGGAAGAGATTCACCAAAGATCTTATATGCATATATGCATTATGTATGGACACAGACAATAGGGTGATAAAGTCCTGAGGTGGGGCAGGAACCAGGTGGAGGGAGGCAATGGAGATCAGGAGAAGGGGACATATGTAATATGCTCAACATTAAAGACTTTTTTATTTTATTTTTTAATTAAATCTTTATTGTTCAGATTATTACAGTTGTTCCTCTTTTTTCCCCCCATAGCTCCCCTCCACCCGGTTCTCCTACCACCCTCCGCCCTCACCCCCCCACCACCACTGTCCTCATCCATAGGTGCACCATTTTCGTCCAGTGGAGGAGAGGTGAGTGTGGTTATAAAATGGGATCCTTGTAATAATAGAACTGTTCTATAACTTGATTATTGTGGTGAGTAGATGAACCCACATGTGATAAAATTACATAAACTAAATATTACATGTGCACGCACACACAAACTCTTGCATATACACTATGAGGTAGATCCAGACCAAAAACTAGATAACTCCATAAGCCCCTCCTCTGACTGGTGGTGCACAGAGGCCTTGTGGGTCTTCAGAAATTAATATCAATCAGAGCCAGTGCACAGTAACTGAACAAAAAGACACGGTTATTTCTCAGATTTTTTTTTTCTCTAATTCAGTCACTCTGGGAGATGGCCACAGGTAGCTTTGGGAAGTCATGAAGGATATGTACCTCACACCTAGTTCTGATATTCATTGGTTGTGAAATCTTCTCATGTGACTCATATTCTCTGAGCCTCCATTCCTCATCAGTAAAATGGAAACAACAGTACTTCTCAGAGTCGATGTGAGGGTGAGATAAAACACATACCTGTATTATGCTATAGTTTGTAATATTTCATTGATTATAAGGTGCACAATATTTCACATTTTAACCTCTTTACAAGAATAAATCCTGTAATCAATGGCATGTTCCTATCTAATTGAGAACACTTTTCTTCTTTCTTGGTGCACAGCTATACTAATAAAAGGGTAATATGCTAATTAGACTGGGTCAACCAGACATCTTCAGGATGTCCGACTTCCTTCCGGACAAAGCCACAGTGGCGGGAGCCAAGGCAGAGGCAGCTAGGGGCGATCAGATCTGCAGGGGAGCAAGCAGTTAGGGGCAATCTGGCTGGTGGGGGAGAGCAAGCAGTTAGGGGCGAGAGCAGGCTGGCGTGAGGGAGCAAGCAGTTAGGCAGTGATCAGTCTGGCAGGGGAGGGCAGTTAGGGGTGATCAGGCAGGCAGGCAGAGGGGTTGGGGCAATCAGGCAGGCATGCAGAGGGGTTAGGGGTGATCAGGCAGGCAGTCAGAGGGGTTAGGGGAGATCAGGCAGGCAGGCAGAGGAGTTAGGGGCAATCAGTCAGGCAGGCAGGTGAGCGGTTAGGAGCCACAGGTCCCGGATTTTGAGAGGGATGTCCGACTTCTGGTTTAGGCCCGATCCCCCAAGGGGTCCCAGATTGGAGAGGGTGTAGGCCGGGCTGAGTAACCCCCCCCTCCCATGCATGAATTTCATGCACCGGGCCTCTAGTAAAATAATAAGAGCTCAGAGTAACATCTCAAGTAATGACAAGTGCAGCCCTAGCCGGTTTGGCTCAGTGGTTAGAGTATCAGCTTGAGTGCTGAAGAGTCCTGAATTCAATTCTGGTCAAGGGTACATACTTCAGTTGCAGGCTCAATCCCCGGCACCAGTCAGGCCACATGTGGGAAGCAACCAATCAATTCTCTCTGTCGCTCCCCCTCCCTTCCATTCTCTCTAAAAACCAATGGAAAAAATATCCTCAGGTGAGGATTAACAAAAATAAAATAATAATGACAAGTGCAGATATCATTTCATTATCAAACAAAACGTGACTCTCAGTGCACCAGTGGGAAACCTCAACACCCCCTAGAGAACACAAGTGTTCTCCTTTACACATTCCATTCCTTTCTCCATTCATTGCACTAACCCTTCATTCCACAGCCCTTATTAATCAGTTTAGTGGAATGAAAAAGTATGAGTTTTAGAATCTAACATATTACATTTTCAGTCTTAACTGCTATGTGACATTCTGAGCATCAGTTGAGTACTCCATAACTGTGTATAATAATACTTACCCAAAAGGATGTTCAAAAGATTAAATGAGATGATACATGTAAAGCTCTATCAGTGCCAAACATATTGTGGGTATTCAAGATCTAATCTTCTGCTGATTATTTGCCTTGAAGGAAGGGCTGATCTTCTAGATGGGGAAGTAGGGCAAATTCTGGCCCTCAGGCCAAATCCACCCACTTCTTGTTTTTGTAAATAAATTTTTCTTGTAATACAGTCACACCCACTGGTTTACATCTTTTTTTTTTTATAGGCCCAGTCAATGCCATTTATTATACATGTTGAACAGCCTCTGAGACCCAACGGCTCCCATATGAGGGGTTTTTATCCTGGGTGTTTGTGTTTTTTTTTATTTGAGGGGGGGCGGGGGGGTTGGCATCAAACAGTTTCTTCCAAGAGCCTGCTCACAAGAAAGACAAAAACAGAGTAATCCTCAATAAAATAAAACAAACAGGAATAGCTGAAGAGTCTACATATGAAAAACAAAGGTTAAAAAACTCAACAGACAAAAACCACCCTAAACACTCATCCCATTTAATTTCCTGTTACATGCACTGAGGAAACCAAGAACATCAGGCCCCAAGGCAATAATGTTCTGAGGTTCTAGTTTAGGCTCCTTCTATGTGACAGATTCATGCACACACATCGCACATACTACTGACCCAGGCAGAAGTACACATGCATGCACAGGTGGCCAAAGAACCACGATGGGGAATGAGGAAAATGGGGAGTGGTGGCTGGTCAAGGATATAACATCAACTGGAAACTAGGGACCCTGAGAAACTTTCCGCTGCAGCAAGAGTCAAAATTAAAACAAAGGCAGAACACATGCCCTAGCCAGTTTGGTTCAGCGGATAGAATGTCGGCCTGCAGACTGAAGGGTCCCGGGTTCAATTCCAGTCAAGGGCACATGCCCCAGGGTTGTGGGGGCGTGCAGGAGGCAGCCGATCAATGATTCTCATCATTGATGTTTCTATCTCTCTCTCCCTCTCCCTTCCTCTCTGAAATCAATAAACATCTTTTTTTTTTTAAGGCAGAATACAGGATAAATGTAGGATGGTCAGAGAAGACTGGATAGATGAAGAGAGAAAGATGCAGGGGAAGTATTGGGAAAGCAGCCTCAGAAGAGGTTTTTCTTTATTGGGAATGCAGATGGGCAGAGGTCCTGTTACTTGAGTGATACACTGAGGCTAAAGGAATATGCTGCAGCATTACCGCCGCCTCCTGTGCTCTCTCTCAAGGTGGAGGGAAACTGCAAACACTCTATTGCCACTCAAGGACTTTCTCAAGTACTCCCCCCAAAAAATGACCCCGCCCACATTCAAAGTTAAGCCCAGCAAAGGGCCAAAGTAACTCTTCTTGGTGGAACCAAAGCCAGAGAAGCCCATCACAGCTGTCATCACATCATCCTCCTCAAATGTCAAGTCCTCCGCAGCCCTCCTTTTCTGCTCTGTCCATTTCTCTTTCTTGTAGGCTTTGGCCTTTTCCTCTTCTTCTCTAAGCTCCTTCCTCCTTTCCTCAAAATCATAATCCTTTTGTTTCTCTTCCATCTTCTTCTTGTTGACTTCAAAACATTTTTTCACCTAATCCAAGGTGGAAAGTTCCACACCCCTCGACATGCCCAGGTTTCACTGATGTTTCTTTCCATTAATGTGGTCCAGGAAGTTGATGGAGTCCTTCACAACACAGTCACAGACATTGCAGTAATATCCTCCCATCTCAGATTGCGGGGTGGTCTTGGTAATGACAATTATCTTCCCAAGCTCGGATTCCAGGTCCACCTTGTAGTCCCTATGCTGGAGAAACTCCCGCTTGACTGGCTGCACCAGGTTTTCCATCCTTCTTTTCTCTCTCTTCTGTGAGCCTCTTCTCAGCAAGCTTCTCATATTCATCTTTGCCCCACTTGTGGCAGAAGTCCAAGTTTTTGGCCCACTGCTCGACACCATCTTCCCACTTGTTTACATCTTGTGTATGTCTGCTTTTGTGCTATGATGGCAGAGCTGAATAGCTGAGACAGAGACAGTATGACTCACAAAGCTGAAAATATTTACCATCTTGCTATTTACAGGAAAAGTTTGCTGATCCCTGTTCTAGATTCCTACAACATCTAAAACACGCACCCCCTCCAATTTGTGATACTATTATGCCTCTAGAGAGCTGCGTTAGATGAGAGAGGTGCGTTCCTCACCCTAGAAGCCAGGACTCTGGGGCTCTGACCACAGCTTCTACACCAGCCGAGCGGAGAGGAGACCTATGAGAATCTCTAATTAAGAAGATAAGCCAGGCCAGAGTGAACGACAAAAATGTGGTTTCCAGCCCCCCCCCCCCCCCCCCAACACACACACACACACACACACCCTTCTATTACTGGGGTTATAAAAGCCGGGACAAGAGTGGGGAGTGACAAAAGAACCTTGCCATGGGCAGCATCACTGGGAAAATGCAGGGCCTACTCCTTTGGTTGATCTTTTTCTTGCCTCCTGAAGCTGGAGCTGGGGAGTCTGGGATATAACTCCCTGTCCTCTGGGTCCCTAACTTCTATTCCAAATTTACTGGCCTGAGTCAAAGAAGACCTTAAATGAGAATGCAAGATCCCATTGCAAGTGTTCCAGGGGAAATCTCTACCTGGAAGAGTCATATTCTTTCCCAGCAGTTAGTAACAGTTTCCTGGGGGCAGCGGGGGGGGGGGGGCGGGGGGGGGGCGGGGGGCAGGGGAAGGAGGGGGATCTTGGGTGGAGATAGAATCAGAAAACTGGCTTGAGAAGTAGTTCTTAAGCTGCTCTCCTCAAAATATCCATAATTCTGATTCCTGGTCCTTTGCTCCTCTGTCTTTGCTCTCATGTAGAAAAGGTCAGGATCAGGACATGAAGACATGTTTAAATGACAACTCAGAATCAAGATTAGCCATTGTGTTCTGAAAAGTGGGATTGGCAGGGTGGATTGGGATAAGGAAAGCCAATAAAAAGGATACATGAAGGGGCTGAGTTACATTACAGGTAAGGGTGAGGCTGGGGTGGGGGGTTGCCTCAACTTTCAACTCATTTTCCTTACCTAGTGCTCTGTCTGAAGTGCTCTGTGTTTGAGGACCTGGGATTTTCTGTTTCAGGGGAGATTATCAGTGGCATTGAGTCCAAGCCACACTCCCGTCCCTACATGGCCTATCTGAATGTCACCATCCACCAGAGATATGGTAACTGTGGTGGATTTCTCATAAGTGAAGAATTTGTGGTGACAGCTGCTCATTGTAGTAAAGGAAGGTAAGAAAACTTTGATTTGTTCTCTTTTCATGTGAGGAGTTGTAGGAACCAAAGTTAACACAACTTTCAAGTGGCCTCAGGAGAGATTTTTGTGCCTCACTAATCTCAAGATGGTCAGTGATGTATATTGGGAGGAACTGGGCCATTGTGATTGATTAGTCATCTCCATCCCCAGGGCTTTACTAATGGGAAACCCAGATCAAGACAGGTCAATACTGCCCCTCTCATCCTGGTGCCAGAGAGCTCTCTCAGTCTTCCAGGGCCTGGTCCTTCCTAAAACAGCTGTGGCCATGGGAGGAACATCTTTCCTCAGTAAGAACTGAGTTCCTCAGTTGGGCCTACACTGATGAAGAGGGCCTGTTGTCACTCTGCTCAAAATGGGCCCTTCTCAGGAGACCAGCACCTTTTCCTGACCCTCTCTCCCCTCTCAACAGAATAATTACTGTCATTCTCGGAGCTCATGACATAAAACAAGAAGAATCCACATGGCAGAAGCTAGAAGTCAAAGAACAATTTGTTCATCCAAAATACGACTATTCAACTGAAGTCAATGACATCATGTTACTGAAGGTGCCATTCTCTTTTTTGGACTTCTCAATTTCCCCTTCTTAACCCTTCTCCTGACTTGTACCTTTCTCATTCTCTTCCAAGCCACTACCTCAGATACAACCCCCAATCCATGTCATCATCACCCCATTCGGGAAAAACTCTAGGCCCTGCCCCGGGAGCCTCTACCACACCACACCATCCACATTCCCTGTGACTGACAACCACCTACTCTTCCTCCCTCACAGCTACAAACGAAGGCCAAACTGAACCATGCCGTGGGGACAGTCCCCCTGCCCACCAAGTCTACCTTCATTCAACCTGGAAAAGTATGCCGAGCAACTGGCTGGGGGCAAACAGGAGTGGAAAATCCAGGGTCAGATACTCTGAGAGAGGTGAAGTTGAGACTCATGAAGGCCGAGGCCTGCAACCACTTTATGTTTTACAATCATAACCTGCAAATCTGTGTGGGCAACCCCAAGGAGACAAGATCAGTATTTAAGGTACCACAAAGTTACACTTCCTCCTCACACTCAGTTCCTGGGAGACAGGGTCCTGCTGAGAGGGGGTGGGTCAGGAAGTCTGCTGGTTCAGTTACTGGTGTCTGCATTCATGGGTTTCTAGAACTATGGGAACTAAAACCCTCCTTCTGGGTTCCATCCTTCCATACTCAAGCCTGCCTCTAATCTTCCCATCTACACATACAGGGCTCCAGGAGAGAAAAAATAAGAAGATGTTGGGGAGGGGCAGGATCTATGTTCTATGCTAGAGAGAGAAAGAAGACATTTAAATTATGACTCCTCACTTATGACTTCATGGGGAGTCAAGATTCCTGGCCTGGCTCTGGGGTATCTTGGGGCCAGCCTGGGTGCTGATAGAACCAGGATGAAGTAATAGGAGGGAGAGAAGAATGATCCCTGCTCATGATCTGCTTTTTTTAACCCACAGGGTGACTCTGGGGGCCCCCTTCTGTGTGCTGGGGTGGCCCAGGGTATTGTGTCATATGGACGTCCAGATGCAAAGCCTCCTGCTGTCTTCACTCGAATCTCCCCATATGTGTCCTGGATTAATAAAATCTTAAAGTCCAAGTAGCCACAGAAACCTGGCCAGCCGCAGGAAAAATCCCAAAGCCAGAGTTCTCCCTGGGTAGCCCCCAGGTTCCACAGGAGCCTGGACATAGCGAAAGACCAGGGAGGTTCCGAGAGGTACCCAAAACCCCTGCTGATTGTATCCCCAGCAAAATTCAATAAAGATGCAGCCTCCGGCACATGTGTGTGAGACTGTTTCTTCCCCCGAGCTCCCCCAGAGATGGACTGCTCCACAGAGAGGAGTTCAGAGCCTCCTCCTAGTTTGAATGAAGAATTTTGCTGGGCTCCTTTCTTGTTAGATTAATAACCAAACCTACCAATTTCCATGTACATTGTGTGGTGCTATGGATTATTAAAGAAAATATTTTAATCTGCATAATACCATTTAATATCCAGAGTAATATTGGCACTGAGTGACCTTCTTTCTCCTCTGTCCCCTCTTCCTCTTCCTCTTCCTGCTTCCCTTCTCCTCTCACTTCTCTTCTTCCCTTAAACCCATGTCTCGGCCACTGCACTATAGGACACAGATGAGCCATAGCAAATTCTCCATGACTATTTCTGAAGATGGGCCACGGCCTGGGCTTATGTCCTTACACTCACCTCTGCCTCATGATCGTCGCCTCAATAGTGTGTCTACAGCCACAAAAGCATCTGCCAAGGGGGGAAAAAAAGAAAATTTCCCAAGCATGAGAGCTCAGGATAGTGGGGTGAGGGAGAGATGACCCTTGGAAGTCCTCAGGATGTGTCTGTCTACTGCAATAGTCACAATGGGCTTTATAGGGGTCAAGGCCATTCTAGCCCAGGAGAGGGATCCCCAAGAGCATCAGAGTGAGCCTCATCCCTGAATTACATCACAGCCACCCAAATTCAACTGCCATCTTCCTTCAGATATGAGATGGTATCTCCAGGTCTTCCAGAAAAAGAATACCTGAGTTAGGCAAAGTCCTCCAAAATTTCCTTCCCAAATGGCCTTGAGTGCTCTGAATCCCATACCCACCAACATCTGAGCTGGATGAGTTCACTCACAGCTATAAACACCAAATACAAGAGGAACAGGGCATGACCTCCAGCTACCTCTCAGGAGCCTGCACTTAAAGGACCTCTTACAGGCCCTTGATCCCTAAGAGGCCTAAGATAGGCCTGGCCCCATGCAAGAAAGAGCTGCTACTGTTGGTCCCAGATCAGAAACCCGAGAGCTCCTCTACTTTCCCCACTGCCTGCCAGCCCACAGATCTGAGCTTCCAGCTTTACCAATGACCAATACGTGTAAAATAAAAAAGAATAATATGTACAACTTAGATTATAGACTCTGACTCTATGCAAAAAACAAGCTTATGTACAACAACAAAACTTGGAAGATCTCAAAAATAAGAGAACATACGCTGAAATGATAATATAAAGATGTTTTTTCTTTTTATCCTAACTCATATTTTACATTTGTATAATTAAATATGAATTTTTAAATGTGAGATACAAGAGGCAGAGACACTATGTGTAATACTAGTATTTGCTTAGGAGATCAAAGCACATACTGAGTTGCAGCTAAAACCCCATCCACTCTTGACCCCCAGACCCTAAGGACAGCACATCCACAAGGCAGCCCTTGTTCCCTCAAAACTGGACAATGGAGATGGGAGGAGAGTAATCAGCCTGTCCTTCCAGCCCCAAGAAGTAGCAGGGCCAATGGAGACTGCAGGGAGCTTGACTGAGCCCACAGGCTATATTGGACTCCAACAGATTGGCAGGCACTGACTCCAGTACAGCCACCGCAGAAGAACAAATGAGCATCACATGGTCCCGTGACATGGAAAAAGCAGTTGGTGGCTGTCATCCAGAGAAGATAAGCACATCAACATCACCACAGTGTTAGTTCTGCCATGCAGAGGATACGCCCACAGAGTGTGTCTGCCTGACCGACATCAAGATTGATAAAGTCTCAGCATCACAGGGTCAGCAGGAGAAACTGTCCAGATAAGAGGGCTTTGCCCAAACTCATGGGAAGAGGGCCTCAGGACAGCTGAGGGTGGCACACAAGGAAATAAATGCTAAACAGCCAGTTCCCATGGTCAGGGTTGTTGGGGCCCAGGTCCAAAAATCCAACAAGAAAATATTTCCTTCTCCCACCCCACCCCAATGCCAGGCCCTCCCCTCGGAACCTAGGGACTGTTCTCCTGTACCCACAGTTTCCCTGGCAACTATTACCCTCACATAGTCATACAGTGTGCAGTGGCTTGGCATGTGTATTTACTGAAGGAGTTTTTATGGATTGTATTGTGTCCCTCAAAAAAACATATTGAAGTCCTAACTCCCAGTGCCGCAGAATGTGACCTTATTTAGAAAGAGTCTTTGAAGAATTAATTGAGATGATGAAGAATTAATTGAGATGAGGTCAAACTGGAGTCCGGTGGGCCCTTAATCCAGTATGGCTGATGTCCTGATAAGAAGAGAAGAAAGACACACACAGGGAGAAGGCCATGTGATGACAGAGGCAGAGATTGAGTGCTGCATCTACAAACCAAGGACCACCACAGACTTCCAGCTGTCACCGGAAGCTAAAGGAGAGGCATGGGACATATTTTTCCTCACAGCTCCCAGGAAAAAAACAACTCTGCCAACACCTTGATCTCAAACTTCCAGTCTCCAAACTGAGAAAGAATAAATTTCTGTTGTTTTAAGCCACCTAGTTTGTGTTACTTATTTTCTCCCTCTATCTTTCTTCCAAATACAGTTAAACAAAAGCACTACTGAAAACTCCCCAAATGACACCTGGAGGGTTGGCCCTAGCCTGTACTGTTGAAACACCATACTTCCTATCTCATTAGTCTCACATAACTGGCCCCTTCATTCTCCCCCCGCAACCTTACCAAAATCATACCTGCAGCTGGGCAGCATTTTCCATTCAATAAACAAAGGAATCCTCTTGCAACCAAGGATGTAGGATAGGGAGAAAAGACTAGACAGATGAGACACCTTTATAAGGCCTCCACATAGAAAGTAACCCCAGTAGAAGATTATTGGGCTATTCTAGAGCTAATAGAAGAAAAGTCACACCCAATCCAAGAACTATACCCTGACAGGAAGCAGGAATGGAGACTGTGAGGAGCAGGGCTGAGCCTACAAGCACTGACTTCCCATTGGCAGAAACCACACATTAAACATGCATCTTATGAACCTCTGAAATGTAAATAATAGTTGTTTTCTCTCCTGTAGCCCACCTGGCAAAGATCATCATGGATATTATATTAATTCTGAGGTACACAAGATGATGACCCAACACTGGGCCGAACTGACCGATGTTGAGAGCAATAAGGGGAATGGTAGCATCACAGAGCCTACAGGAGAAACTTTACTTAGCCAAACTAATGAGAGGGAGCATTCTAGGACTTTCCCTCCTCAAATACTAGCCTATTGTCGGAATGGTAAATGGAAACTAGAAATAGGGGGCTCCCAGTCAAGATGGCATAATAGGTAAATGCTGTATTCGCTTCCTCCCATGACCACATCAAAATTACATCTAAACTACATAAAAACCATCATTGAGAACTGCCTGTAGGCTAACAGAACAGAACTCTTATGCCTAAGAAGAAGCCACGTAGAGACTGGTAGGAGGGGCGGAGACACTGAATGGGCTGATCTGGTTAAATATCAGGAAGGATATCTGGACTGCAGAGGTCCCCCTGTGAGGAGCCAGGAGTCCCAGCCCCACATTGGGCTCCCCACCCCAGTGCCACAAACGATGCAAGCAAAGGACAGACTTGGCAGGCACCAGGGCCCTGCTCCAGTGAATTCTGCTCTATAGGGTTAGTCCCTGCACAACAGCTCCTCCACTGCAGTCACATCCAGTTCTTACAACCAACCAACTTGAGGGACAATCCCTCCCATTGCTGTGTCAACAATGATTAAGGCTAAACTACAACAGAAGGGCACACACAATCCACACAAGGGACATACCTGGAGCACCCAGCTCAGGCGACCAGAGAGACTGCATCACTGGGCCCCAGGAAACACCTACAATATAAGACCACTCTACCAAGACCAGGAGACATAGCACCTCTACCTAATACATAGAAACAAACAGAGGGAGGCAGCCAAAGTGAGGGGAAAAAGAAGAAGAAAAGAACAAAACTCCAGAAAAAGAACTAAACAAAATGGAGACAAGCAATCTATCAGATACAGAGTTCAAAACACTGTTTATAAGGATGCTCAGTGATCTCAGTCATAATTTCAACAAGGAGATAGAAAACATAAAAATGGAGATAGAAAACATAAAAAAGAACCAATTAGAAATGAAGAATACATTAGAGGGGCCCTGGCCAGTATGGCTCAGTGGTAGAGCATCGGCTCACACACCAAAGGGTCATGGGTTCAATTCCCCATCAATGGCACATACCTGGGTTGCAGGTCAATCCCAGGCCCTGGTCAGGGTACATTTAGAAAGCAATGGATCGATGTGCCTCTCTCACATAGATGTTTCTCTCTCTCTCTCTCTCTCTCTCTCTCTCTCTCTCTCTCTCTCTCTCTCTCTTTCTCCCTCCCTTCCTCCCTTCTATGCTCTCTCAAAAAAAAATCAATGGAAAAAAATATCCTTGGGCAAGGATTAACAACAACAAAAAAAGAATATATTAGAGGGAATCAATAGTACAGTAGATAAAGCAGAGGATCAAATCAGTGATTTCGAAGATAAGGTAACAGAAAACACCCAATCAGAGCATCAAAAAGAAAAAGAATCCAAAAAATGAGGACAGGTTAAGGGGACCTTGGGACAACATTAAGTGTTACAACATTCACATCATTGGGGTACCAGAAAGGAAAGAGAGAGAGCAAGGAACTGGAAACCTATTTAAAGAAATAATGATGGAAAACTTCCCTAACCTGGTAAAAGAAATAGGCATACAAGCTCAGGAAGCACAGGGAGTCCTACACAAGATGAACCCAAAGTGGCCCACATCAAGACACATCATAATTAAAAGCCAAGGTTAAAGACAAAGAGAGAATCTTAAAGATAGCAAGAGAAAAGCAGTTAGTTACTTACAAGGGAGCTCCCATAAGACTATCAGCTGATTTCTCAACAGAAACTTCGCAGGCCAAAAGAGATTGGTACAAAATATTCAAAGTGATGAAAAACAAGGACCTATAACCAAAATTACTCTACCCAGCAAAGCTATTATTTAGTATTAAA